AAAAGGACTGGCGCTCAGCAATCAATTATGCGTCGCCCGGAAGCCCCCCCCACCCCCCCAAGCCTCCTGGGGACAATTCGTTTGGTCCGTTTCACTTCCCAAACAATGCATAGGAGGATGGGTCTCTACAAAGCATAGTATGGCCTGGTTCGCAGAAACCTACGACATGCAAGAGATTCGAGCCTACTGGCCATTCCTTTCAAAGGATGCGCAGAAGTATATAGCCTGCTTCGAGACCCTGGCCCAGCTAGCCCTTGCAATGACCGCCAAGGCCTATCATGGGCAGACCAGGCTTAGCCTATGTCTGCCCACACAGAGCGACAATTCGCCCACAGAAGGAGGAGTCAACAAGCTCTTTACGACCAGTTGGCCTCTCTCAGTATTCCTCGGCCTCATAGCATCCTGGAGCTCTGCCAACAGTGTTCAGTTGCAGGTCAGCCATGTCGCGGGGGCGCACAATGAATGGGCCGACGATCTCAGCAGAGGACGCCTACAAGCCTTTGCTCATCGGCCACAAGAACGCCTTCGGATCTCCCTTGGCATGCTGGCCTCAGCTGAAGCCTCCGCATCCTGGACACCGTCTGCTCCTGGGGAGGAGCCGCCTTTCGCCTACAAGACAGTCGCAACAGACGCCTCAGCATCTGAGCCCGCTTTCCACGAGAACAGAAACTAGCCTGGTTTCACAGTTGCGAGAGAAAAGATTCGCCCGAAGCCTATGCAAGCCTCGGAGTGTGATGCCTGTCCCAAATCAGACGGCCAGCCTAGCTAACAAACACCGCCAAGGCCAGATGCACCGCCCGCGGTGGGGGACATCTACTTCGCTTGCGCCTATTTACCGTTGCATCTGTACACTGAAGTGGGGGTTTCTTTGCAGGCCTCGGCTAGCCGTTGACCGGGCCTCCCCTCTGTGGCTAGCCTCGACTCTGCCTTTACAGATGCAACACGGAAAACGAGTGCCAGGTCAGGTGCTAGAGCAGTGCAAGCCTATCTNNNNGGCTTGTGAATCTATACACATTGCAGTGTGTATTGGCTCTAGCACTGGCGTACTCGTTAGCAAAAAGCCCCGCCCGCCCACTCCTTGCTTGCCTCAGGTACTCGCCTTCGAAATTGCCACAGCCTCGGATAGTTGCAGCCTCTGCAGCCTTGCAAATCCGGCGGGTAGCTTCCCACAGGCTCAGACACGATCTGCCTCAGTCGTACATAGCCGGGACAAAGCCTCAGCGTCAGCACCTGCAGCCGCTGCAGTTGCGACTCGCCGTTGTCGTCTTGTGCAGGCATGGCACGCTCTGCCCCCGTCGGGCCTAACCGACAACTGGCCTTAGCCTTAGCCTCCGGGAACCAGCTGCGTCCCATGCCACTTGCGTGGCAACTTTGAGACCCGCCTCGGGTCTCCCGGTCGCCCAGGAATTCGCCTACCTCCAGCTCTGACAGCATGTTTCACTCGCAGCTTTCACCTTTGCCTTTTCCTCACCAGCCCCTGGTGAGGCGCTCTAGCGGCCCTAGCCCAAGCGCCCTGCTCGGGCCAGCCTACTTAGTTCTAGCTCTCATGAGCACACGTAGTGGCCTACATCAGGTTTCACTTCTTCTCACAAAGCCTAGCCGAAGGGGGTTTCTTTGCAGGCCTCGGCTAGCCGTTGACCGGGCCTCCCCTCTGCGGCTAGCCTCGACTCTGCCTTTACAG